GACTCGACATTTAAAGGCAAGACAATTCTCAATGGTATGTCCTAGAGCTCCAGCATGATATTCACAATAAACGTTGATGTCATACCAGCATGATATAGGAATAGTATCAAAATGAGAACCGACTTTTGTCTTGGATTGAACCTGAGTTTTAGACGTCGGGAGCAGACTAAACTTCATCGATTTCAAATTACATGATTTCTTCTCATCTCTGTGAGTTTTTACAGTTGTCACCATTTCCTGGGTATCTCCAGACGATTTGTGAATACGAATGATGACTGTCCGTAATTTCTCCAATTGGTTAAGATCCGAAGTTCCTTGCATATATGAGATTGCAGGATTATGTTCATTGACCTTTATTTGTGCAGGAATCTCTTTTCCTTTGGCCAAGACAATATTCTTCCCATCATCTTGGACATTTGCTCTATTATTTCTTGTATCTCCTTTTGCTATTCAATGGGCATACGATCTTTGGGTGCATAGCTCTCATCTATCCTCGGAGTTCCCTTAGGATGTCATTCCTTGGCCGCTTCATATTTTGTTTGATCATAAAACTTTTTGTCCATTTATGAAGTCTTTCCAATTTGATGAACAGTCTTTCAAGTCAACACCTTTTGGTTATGCCATGATCATGCAATGCAGACAAAAGAATATAAACAAATTAGAGCAATGTAACATGCATGGAAAAAATAAGAAAAAAAATAGAATAGTTAGTACCTACTAATGGAAGGAAAAAAATTCTACCTATCAAGGTATAAATCCTAACCTCATGCTTTCTAGTTTCATGCTTTGTTTGGAAAAATTAACCTAACTGCATGATTTCTAGTTCGCATGCATTTATTCAGAGAGAAAATAAAAAATTAAAAAAGAAAAAAAGTTAGAACTTATTTCTCCTTTGTGTACACCTACGGACAGAGGTTCAGTACTGTCTTAGATCAGGAGAATTTCTAGGGTTCATTATATGCAGGGTTTTGGTTCTAAGAGTAAAGGTACTCGAACTGTCCTTGTTGATGCCCCCTTGGACTACCAACCCTCAATCCTAGTCCATCACAGACTTAAGCGGACCGAGTTCAATTCGAGGGGACACATTTCTTTATGCCTAACATGGAGAATAAATTCTCACGAAGACGTCGCTTTCACTCCCACTTAAAAGGGACAAATCTCAGTTATAGAGATTATGTTTATGCAATGCAAGTGTTGTGTGTGAGGAGAAATGTTCAAACCTATGACAGAAACATAAATAATGAAATAAAATACTTGAAAATAAAATGAAACATTAATAAAATAATATATATAAATATTATGAAAATAATAAATATATATAAAAATTTCAAAAAGAAAGAATTAAATATATGAATTTTTAATTTCTAATTAATAGAGAGAATTTATAATTGATTTTAAAGCTTGACCAATGTGTCCCCAGCGGAGTCGCCAAGCTGTCGTAACCGGTTTTCGTTCGGGTACGAAATTTTACTTGGCGGGAAAAATAATGTGGATAAAAAATGATTTAAAATAAGTTTTGGGAGTCGCCATCGGCCTTTTGGGTCAGGTAGGTCGAATACCTAAATATTATCTTTTAAAAGAGTTTTTTAGAAAAAAAATATCAGTTAAAAGATTTATTTAATAAAAAAATTTTGCTGGTCTGCGTTTATAACCAAAAATTCATTCTTTTTATTAATAAAAAGGGATTCATGGTCGATTATGTTTGGGGAAGGATTAGCACCCCCACAACGCCCAAAATTGGTACTTATTAATTATAAGTTGTCTCTATTATTAGAAATTTAAAAATTCAAAGATATATTTAATTTATAATTCTGTTTTTTCAAATTTATAATTTTACAAACATATATTAATATATAAATATAAGAGATATTTACTTATTTATAAATATCATAAAAGGGCTTCTAGGTGCTTTAAGACAGCTATTTTCTTCGATATTAAAAAATAAATAAATACTAATAAAACATTTTTCTAAAAATAATTAAAATAAATTAATATATAATTTATAAAAATATGATATTTATTTATTTAATAATATCAGAAAAGGTCATCTAGGTGCTTTAAGACAGCTCTTTTCTTCGATATTAAAAAATAAATAAATATCAAAATATGATTATTTTTCTTAAAAGTAATTTATAAAATTAAATTTATAAATAGGATTTTTATTTAAAAAACAAATAAAAATAAATAAACAAATATTATTTATTATATATATTTATATGACTAAATAATAATAATAATAATTAAATATATTTAAAAATAAACATATAAAATTAAAATAAGTAATGACTGAAATAAATAAAATTAAAACTAGGGTATTAAAATATAAAAAAAACAATAAACTAAAATTAGGGATTAAATTATAACTTGTTAAAATTAAATGGTCTAATTCAAAATGTCATAAATCTAAGTGCTAAAGGTGCAATTTGTCCTTAATTAGTTATTCAGGACTAAAATATAATTAATTAAAATGATAAGGGACTAAATCAGTTATTTACCTTAATATATATAAACACTGATAATGACTAAATTATAAAATAAACAAAATTTGAAGACTAAATTAAACTAATCAAAAATTACTTTCAGTGACTAAAATGCAAAGTTACATACTTGGAGTGACTGCAGGTATAGTTTACCCACGCGGGAAATTACACAAATAACCTCCCCAAAAATGGCGTTGTTTGGGATAGGGTTTTTAAACCCCTAAATTGCTGACCCTTCGGGTCAACCTCTCATTTTCTCCCTTTCTCTTTTCTCTCTAAAAACGAGAGAATAAATTCTCTATCGTCTCTCTCTTGCTTCCCTCACCAGAGGGAACTCCGGCAGCTGCTGGCCACTATACCCTGGCGTCAGTCGTCGCCGTCGGCCACCGCTCACAGTGGCCGGAACTATACAATCTTATACCAAAAGTGAGCGCTAAACACCCCCAATACCGAATCCAACCTTATTTTTCCTTAAAAAGCTCCTAATCGGAGCAGGTCTACAAGAATACCTTCGGGTTTTGGTGGTTTCAGGCGACGTTTGCTCTCCTCTGTGGTAAGTTTCTTTTACCTTTTCTTCTTCCCTCGATTTGTTGTTGACTGAGATCGTTGGTAGTTTGCTGTTGGTGTTGGTGTTGTTGTGTTCTGCTCTCTGTTTTTTTCGTAGCTGTCTGTTCTTCTCCGTTGTTGTTCGTATCCCTCTCCGTCCTCGTTGGTTGCTTCCTCTCTTTCTGTCTCTCCTTTTTTTCTTTTGTTTGCAGGGGAACCGAGGCTTTATAGCCTCGGTGAGGCTCTCGTCGGACCGTATAATAAGGCGGTCTTCGGTGAGTCGCCAAGCTATGGCGATGACTCACCATAGAGCATTGATTTGGTGAGGCAACTGGCTTCTGGAAAGCTCGGCGAGGCTGGCGTCGTGGAAACAGCAGCTTCGACAGCGACTGGTTGGACCATCTGGCAGCTGGAACGTCTGGAAGCTGGAAAGGCGGCTGGGACGTGGCCCTAGGGTTATGATAACCCTAGGGTTTCCTTCTGGAGGGTTCTGGACCATTGGATCATAGCTAGATCCAACGGCTGTGATGCTGGCGGCTGGGGCAAGAGATGATATAAACCCTAAATTAGGTTTAAGGTTTCCTATAGGCTTCTGGATCTAGATCAGTCATTGTTGGGCTTCAAATTTTATAAAATGGGCCTCTGGGTCTTGGATTTGTAATTATTTATTTAATATATATATATATATATATATATATATATATATATTAATAATAATATATGAAAGTGAAAAATTAGTGTCTACACGTTTTATTTTAAACCTATGAAATTATTTTGACATGCTAAATGAACGCATCACATAAAGTAAAGGGTAAACTACACTAGTGGTCACTAATATTTGAATACGTTTTCGTTTTTCCCACTGAAGTTTTAAAAGCTACAAATTGATCACTAACATTATTTATTTGTAAAAAAATGGTCACTAACGTTATCGATCTGTAACAAAATGGTCACTTCACCGTTTTCTCTGTTACAATTGATGATATGGAACCATTAATAAAAAGATTAATATTTAGTTTTATCCCTAAATTATTGCTAAAACATTAAATAAATCCTTAAGCAATGATTTTATATCTAATTTATCCCAAAAGCTTTCTAATTTTCATTTTTTAAACACCCCATCATCTCAATTATATTCTAACCACTTTCCTTACAAAACTAAAACCACACTTAAACAAACTCTCGTTCGTCTTTAAATATTCTAACCACTTTTATTACGAAAGAAAAATCATCACAAAAGCATTATTTTTTACATTTACTCACGTATTTGTCTTTAATGGAAAAACTCCATTTATATATGCAGTGGTTTTCATATTGTAAGGAATGTGGTCTGGATATAGTTGCGGTGGTGCTGGGGTGTTTAGAAAAAAAACTATAAATTAGAAAGCTTTTGGGATAAATTAGGTATAAAATCATTGTTTAAGGACTTATTTGATGTTTTAGCAATAGTTTAGGGTTAAAACTAAATATTAATCTTTTTATTAATGTTGCCACATCATCAATTTAACAGAATAGTGGAGTGACCTTTTTATTACAAATCGATAACGTTAGCAATCATTTTGTTACAAATCAATAACGTTAGTGACCAATTTGTTACTTTTGGAACTTTAATCGAGAAAACAAAAGTTACTCAAACATTAGTGACCAATGTGTTACTTTTGGAACTTTAATGGAGAAAACGAAAAGTTAATCAAACATTAGTCACCATTAGTGTAGTTTACCCTATAAAATAATTGTGTTATTTTGAACGCCTTTTAAAAAATCTGACTAACGTGAAACCTCTAATCAATATAAAAACATCAATTTCGTATATAATTGAGGATTGATGCCATTCCCCTTAAATGGTGCCATCCCCCCAAAAAGTTCCTAGACTATGTAGTTTTCTCAATAATTTTTTTCCCAGTATTTTCGAATCTATATAAAGGGTGATTTTCTCTCAGTCTTGAATATAGAACAAAGACATTACAAGGGAAAGCAATTAAGCTGCAAAATAATGCAAGTACTTCACATGAACAAGGGCAACGGCGACACTAGCTATGCAAAGAACTCGACGGTCCAGGTTTTCCTTCTTCTTCTTTAGTCTTAAAAACATCATATGCATGTTTGCCATTTTATTTTATTTTTGGAACTTGCAGAGCAAAATTATATCTGTGGGGAAACAAATCATGGAAGAAGCAGTGCTAGAAATGCTATGCGGCAATGCGATAGAACTAGAAAGCATGGGAATAGCAGACTTGGGTTGCTCATCAGGACCTAACACTTTGTCGGTAATTTCGGCGATCATGGACACGGTCGAAGCAGCAAACCGTCATCTCGGTCGGCGGCTGGTGTCGGAGTGTAGGGTGCTGTTGAACGATCTTTACAGCAATGATTTCAACGAAATATTCATGTCATTGCCGGCTTTCTACAAGAGACTGGAAGAAGAGACAGGGCTTGGGTTTGGATCCTGCTTCATATCGGGTGTCCCAGGCTCTTTCTACGGTAGATTGTTCCCCTCCAACACTCTGCATTTCGTGCATTCTTCTTCCAGCCTTCACTGGCTCTCACAGGTTACCACTTTTATCCATATGAACAAAACTAGTGTTCATTTTTCAATATCAGAAGTAGAAACTTCATCAAACCCATTATATACAAAACATGCAAATCTGCCTATTGATTAAATTATAGTATATGGTAAAAAGCGAAAAACTTCAGCTGAAAATCTTAAAGAAAAGGCGTTAATCTTATCTTTAGAAAAGAAAATAAGCTGCATGATAGCCATGTTTCATCAGCCTCGGGCTTTTGACTTTATTTTACCACGTTCTTAAATATTACTATTATCTTTCAAAATTGCATGAAAGACAGGTGTCATTTTTACACGAAACGAGCCATCCCATGTCCCCAGTCCACATGATCTCACTGATATAAAGTTTTTAGGGTTAGAAGTACTAGAATTTCCTCGTTACATTAAAAATCATTTTAATCTTCTATTATTAAAACGTATATTTTAATTTATGTAGATTAGAAAATTGAATATTTTAATAAAAATATTAGTTTTCCGTTAATGAAATCAAAGCTTTAGATTTAAACATTATAAAAGTTTCATAGGGTTTTAAAAGTATTTAAATTAATAGTTTAATCTGATTGATGGCAGATTTAATATTTTAGACTATAATATTCACTTTTCAATATACAAAGATCAAAAGATTCCTTTAAATAATAGAGGAATAAAATAGATTTTTGATATAGTAAATGAGTTACTAAAATACTATAACCATTAACGGAAACAAAATATATGAATAGTTAAAGGGTTTTGATCTCATACACGTACAAATAATCTATTAGTTATTGTATTATAGACGTGATACTCTAATATTGTCTATTTTAATCTACGTTTCATTTAGGATGTGAACAGAATATAAGTAGTAACATAATGAAAATCTCATATTATCTGCTACTAATTGTCTTTATCTGGAGGGAACAGGAAAAAAAATGTTGCACGATACGAATAGAATGAAGCAACGATGTTTGTGGGCATAAGTTCGATAACGATTGCCAACTGGCATTATCCTAGCATAATTTCAACTTTATTTTTAGAAATTCTGCAAAAATTAGGGTTCTGTAGCCTGACAATACCAAACGTGATCAAATCAATCCTTAAAGTTGTTCTGAAACTTTAGTATATCAATCTCATCAAGTATGGGGTTCTTCATTTTTCTTTAATGAAATGCTGAAATGTTACAGGTTCCAGCCGGCCTGCAGACCAATGCTCTCAAACATGTGAACAAGGGAAAGCTGTATATTTCTCAGAGCAGCCCCCGGTGTGTGATGGATGCCTACTCATTGCAATTCCAGAACGACTTTTCACTCTTCATAAAATCACGTTCACAAGAATTGGTTCCCGGCGGCCGCATGTTCCTTTCTTTCATGGGTCGGAGATCCGCCGACCCGACCACCGAAGACAGCTGCTACCAGTGGGAGCTCTTAGCCCAAGCGATCATGAGTCTAGCAAGAGAGGTATTCATCGCTTATGAGTAAGTGATTAAATGGTGGACTTATGAGTAATATGCTTATTGAACATTTTTGCAGGGTCGAATTGAGGAGGAAAAGGTTGATTCTTTCAATGCGCCTTATTATGCGCCATTCACGGAGGAAATAAAGGAGGAGATACAGAAGGAGGGCTCCTTCACAATTGATCGCTTCGAGGCTTTCGAAATCGACTGGGATGGCGGTGCTGTCACCGACATCCATACTCCTCAGGGGAAGCTGTTGGTGGGACAACGAGTGGCCAAAACCATCAGAGCGGTTGTAGAATCCATGCTGCAATCTCAGTTGGGAATCCAACCAGACGTAATGGATGACCTATTCATTAGGTATGCAGATATTGTTGGGACTCACTTGTCCAAGTCTAGGACCAAGTACGTTAATATGGTGATGGTCCTCATTAAAAAAGGGTAGTCAAGCTCAAAGTGAATGGCACTAGCTAAAGTCACGATATAGAATCTAAACTTGACTTTGATTTTAAACTTGCTTTGGTTATTACAAAACATATTGTCTTGCCCTATTTTGTTAAGCAATGTTATGTTCTGCTCTTATCAAATTTTATGAAATTGGTTTGGTGAAGCCTTCAAGAGAGTTTTTACTCCAAAATCACTTTTTGACAGTAGAAGTAATGTTAAAGAGTGTATCCTTTGTTATTAAAACGCGTTTAGAGCTGAGTTTTTAATCTTACTGAAAAAGCTAAATTCTTTCAAAATAAAAATAACTCAAAAAAAATAAATATTTTAGGAGTTATGTATGTTCGTTCCCACTTTTGTTTGTTATTCATAGATAAATTTTAATTTAATTATCTTTTTAAAAACTGGTTAACTTATCAATTAAAAATTATATTTATTAAAATTTAAGCTAATATTAATGATTTTTATTGTAATATAAGAAAATTGTTAGTGATTTTTAATACATTTTATCTTATCAAAAAGTATTTTTTATAAACACTAAAATTTTAAACTCAACTTCTCAAAATCAATTTTAAAGAAACTTACCTACAATAAATCTTAAAAGAAATTTCTAATTGAATTTTGGTTTTCTTTTACACTAGAAATACACTCGCACAATACGAAATTGTTAAATTCATAATAAAATAAAAGTTTAATATAGAAATTCTTAAATTATATATATATATATATATATATATATATATATATATATATATATATTCATTTAGCTTCTATATTTATTCCATTAATATGATGTTTAACGTTATAAACTTATTATTTTCAGTATATATGAGCAATAAAAAAGTTTACTAAAAATCAATAGTATTTAACGCATAGTGTAATTATTATTTTAAAAAAGTTAATACATTTCGAAAATGGTTTGTGTGGCAGAACCTCCCTTCAGCTGCACCCATTGGTTCGACGTATCAGGTAGCAGCATTGGGGCACGCAAGGATGACGACACGGAGTTTGATGTTATTAAGGCAGGAAATAAGCTCTGATTTGCAGTTATAGCTAGAACGAAAGCAATTGCCGAGTGGCAGAGGTACATTGGCCAAACTTTAATTTTGCATATTTGAACTTGATAATGTATTAATATCTGGGTAGTTATGCTGTACAATAGTCTAATATAAGGTTAAAGAAAAACGTTATTGGAAATGTTAATATATTTTTAACATTTTCCAGTAGAACGCTACATAAAATGTTAATTTTTCCAACAGAAATATTAATTTTTCTACCTAAAATGAATATTTTTTATTTTAACATTTCAGGTAGAAAAAATAACATCATAAGTAATGCTTTACCGAAAATATTAAAAAATATTAATATTTTTGATATTATTTTTTCTTAACTCTATATTAGAATGTCTTTCCTTAAAAATCCCCTAATGTTTGAGGCCAGAGTCTACAAGTTTTCGTGAATTTGTGTCTGTTTCATGTTTAACCAGACCTTTGAACCATTTACTCGAGTTTAAATATTTTAATTATTTAAAGTGATTATAAAATAATGTTTATTTTTAATTATTACTAAAATATTTTAAGAAAAATATTATTCCTTTTAACTACTTTGTTTCTTTAAGAAAATTTATTCCATTTTAAATTTAGATTTATATTTGATATATCTATATTTTTTAATGAAAAATATATCTAGTTATCATAAATTCGTTAAATTTTAATTGGTTTAGACCTGGTACGTACAAAATATAAAATGAATGTGCTAAGAATATGACAAGTATGATATATTTTAAGAGAGACGTTAGATTCTTAAATATTATTTAAAGTTTGATTTTTTTGTATTTTAAATAAAATAAAATAAATTAGAAGATTACCGTTATAATGAATATGTGCAAAATTGATATAGATTAATAGTTCAATGAACCAAACATCAATAATGTATAGATAAATACTTAATATATAAACAGAGAAAATTATAAATCCTAATGAATTTAAAACACACAAAATATAACAAATAAAAAGAAAAACAGTTAGGTGGAGGTTAATATAATTATCTGAACATAAAAGAATTAATTATTTTTTTATTAAATAAAAATTAACTAGATTTAAATAGTAAAATTTAAAAATATATAATAAGTAGTGAAATTACTAAATTGATAAAAAAAATCTTGAAATGTCACTCAATTGTAGAATTAAGTCGCCATAAGAAGTGAAATTTGTATTTATCCAACAATGTAAAATTGCCACAATACTAAGATGCCAAACATATCAATATCATAATTCAATCCCCATGTACTAAAGCCACTCGAAGCGCACTCGGTTTCAAAATGGGAAATTCAATGATTTCAAGCACCTAACCAGAGGCACATCATTGTAGGCCAATAAACCAGCACACCATTTTAAAGCCGAACACTTGTTTTCCCATTCAATGATCCAATCTGAAGTTGGAGATTTCAAATAACCATAACGTTGATGAAATATTGAAGTTCATCATCAATTACACAAAGCAAAAATGTTTCAGCTTTTGGTAGATGTAGGTCCTTATTGCCTTTGTTTATACGCAGTTTTAGGCCTTGGGGCCATGGCTTTTGTTATGAGCCAGTTGCAGAAGATGTTTCAGCAGCAGCAGCTTAATTGGAAATATTCCATGACTGATAATATTCCACCTGGTAGTCTCGGATTGCCATTTATCGGCGAAACTATACAGTTTATGGCTGCCATCAACAGTGACAAAGGCTTCTATGATTTCGTTCGTGAACGAAGTCTAAGGTACGTTATACAAACAGTTCAACAAATGTAATTATAATTCTCTACACATAAGGAATAAGGTCCACACTTGTTTGGAGAATAAGGGAATATAATTAGGCAAAGGATGTGTTGTTTTTGATGCGTGGTTATTGAACTTTGCCTTGTTGACAGATATGGGAATTGCTTCAAAACCAACATATTCGGGGAGACTCATGTATTTGTGAGGAGCACTGGATCGGCTAAAACAATACTAAACAATGAGTTGGGGAGATTCACCAAGAGGTACATCAAGTCAATTGCAGAGCTAGTGGGGAATCGAAGCTTGCTCTGTGCTTCTCCCCACCATCATAAACAGCTCCGTGCCAGTCTTGTCAATTTGTTCTCCTCCAACTCCATATCCTCGTTGGTTAAACAGTTCGATCAGCTGATCTTCGATGCTCTTAGTGGCTGGGAAGATGGTGCCACTGTCATTGTACTTGATGAAGCTCTTAAGGTTTGACAGTCAAAATTCTTCTTTCATCAACATGATAAAAGCATGGTTATTTGATAGACTGGGAATTGAATTGGATGCAGATAACCTTCAAAGCAATGTGCAAAATGTTGCTGAGTTTGGAGAGTGGAGCAGAGCTAGAGTTATTGCAGGAGGATGTGGGTCAAGTTTGTAAGGCGATGCTTGCATTCCCTTTGACGTTTCCTTGTACAAGATTCTACAAGGGCCTTCAGGTAATTAAAATAATGAAGAAAAACAGCATGTAAATTATGAACACTAAACCTTTGAAATTCCAATTACAAACCAGGCTAGAAAAAGAATCATGAGCACATTGGAGAAGATCATTAGTAGAAGAAGAGGCTTAGACTCGGATTTCGAAGACTTCCTTCAACGTCTCTTGGCAGAGGATGATGCTTCTTGTTCTCAAGGAATGCATAGACTAACAGATGAGGAGATCCAAGACAATATAATGACCATGATTATTGCAGGTGGACATTTTTGCGTTCATTACTACGTTTTTTTGCAGAATGAAAATGTATAACCAATAAGCATTTGTTTTCATATTCAGGCCAAGATACAACAGCAAGTGCCATCACTTGGATGGTGAAGTATCTAGGGGAAAATGAAGAGGCCCTTGACGCAATCAAGGCAAGTAGAAAAACAAAATTTGTGATTATTGACAATTTGAATCAGATTCTGGATAATTCACTCTTTGGGGCCGGTTTTTAATGACTGTAACAGGCTGAGCAACTTCAACTTGCAGCAAAAAAATCATTTCTCTCTCTGGATGATCTTAATGAAATGCCCTATGCTTCTAAGGTAAACAAAATTAAAATAGTTTTAAATTTGCTAAACTTCAAATAATAGATTAGCATACTAATGTTGGTGATGAACAGGTGGTTAAAGAGTCGCTGAGAGTGGCATCCGTTGTACCATGGTTCCCAAGACTTGTGCTTGAAGACTGTGAGATTGAAGGTTTAATTTCCAACGCTACCATTAAATTTAATGTTGTTTTCTCATTGTAATGTTAGGGCTGTTTTGTTAATAGGATACAAGATAAAGAAAGGGTGGAATGTGAACATTGATTCCAGAGCAATACACCTTGATCCAACGGTCTATGATGAACCCCTAAAATTCAATCCTTCAAGGTTTGATGTAAGTCTCTCAGTGGGATTAAAATCCAATTGGAGTTGATATCAAGCTTGTGGAAGAATGCTGAAGTGCATGTTTTGGTTTGCACGTAGGACGAAATTTGTTGTAAGCCTTACAGCTTCCTAGCATTTGGGATGGGAGCAAGGACTTGCTTGGGAATCAACATGGCTAAAGCCATGATGCTCGTCTTTCTCCACCGTCTACTAACCACCTACAAGTAAGATTTCATTATTTATAATAGGGTAAATTACACCCATGACGGGATTCTATTTTGACCACCAATTTTTCGGTTTTTAATGTTTAACTGAGCTGACCTAGGTTGATAGTTAACGGTAGGTGATGTACTATATGCATATATTAATCGATTTTCTCTGTTTTGTTTTGCAGGTGGAGGGTGATCGACTCTGATTCAAGTACTGAGAAATGGGCACTGTTTTCAAGATTAAGGAGTGGCTGCCCTGTGCAAGTGACACGTATTAGCAATATAGAATAATATTCATTAGAAATAATTAAATACTAAAATAAGGAGTCGATTACTCTCCAAGAAGGGAAATGACAATCAGATTTGTTTATATGCTCCTATAACTCTAGAGATGAAAGCAGGTTAGGCAAAAATTTTGCCTAATTCTTACCGGTCTACTATGTAAGTGTTGTTTTGTCTAAGAATAAAACAGACCAATGCCTGCTGGTGTAAAATCAAAATGTACAAAAGGAAAAGCGATGCACATATAATGTTTACTACAAATTTTATTTTTTATATATATTTTATGTTTTCACTAATGAGTACAAGTAAATTGTTTTCATAATTTTCTTAACCATTAATAACATAAATATCCTTCGAACTCTACTTTTCTAATTAACCGCAATCGACGTGCAGTTTTCTTTCCTTCTAGTGCTTTCAAGCATCAGACATTTCTTCTTTTCGGCAATGAAGCCATCTATTATCAACTGAAACTCTTCACTGCTCATCTCATCCATTGATTTCCTCGGCGGCTCTGTATCTGATCTCCGAAACTCCCGGGGAACTCGTCGGCTTTGCGATTCCGAAACCATTGATCGACTTCTTCGGTACTCCTTTGGTCGTTGCGGTTTAATTGGTGAAACGGAACTTTTCGTGTCTGTAATTGTATTAACTATACTACTACTAAATTTAACAACTGCATTTTCCACCAGAACGATTTCTCTCTCCATCGGCGTCTCCTCCTTATCTTGAACGACGATGGGTAGACTCCGTCGAGAGCTAACGTACTCATGGTAGTTATCAGTATCATGGCCTGTGGGTTGTTTCTGGCTAGACAAAACATAAACAGCAAAAACAATGATGTTTACGACCGCGAAAGTGAATAAAGTGTTGTTAAAAGAGGAGATGAAAATGCAACAAAAGTTTCCGACAACACGGACGGTGTCGGGAATCAAAGTGGGGAACGAAGAACATGACAGCAAAAGAAAAACAAGAAAAATCCCAATGAAGCTAAGACCATTCCTTAGCATCCTCTCCACGTTGTATCTCCGTACAGCATCTTCTTTCTCTTCCTTAACGTTATCAGAATCAAAGGAATCCATGTTTGGTTAGCAAGAAAATGAGGGAGGAAATGAAAGGAGAAGAAGGTTCAAGGTCATTAAAATAGAGAGAAAATTGAAGAAAAACCAGAGTTGGAATCTGGATGTAGCAATGGTTGTTGTGGGTCTTAAAAAAGTTATTTTTTTTTTTGGTACTGGGCTCTTAGAACTGAATGATTTGAGTAGATTCTAGGGGGTTTATATAAGTGAATTCTGTTGAAAATTCTCACCGTGCATGAAATTTGTAAAAAAAAAAGATGCAGCAAATGAAGTTAAAAAATGGGGGCACCTAAAGGATTGTAAATTGTTGAATTTTTGGTAGGATAAAATCATAAATTTAGTCCCTATATTTTAAGATATTTATAGGATTAATCCTTAAACTTCAACTATAAATATCCTAACTTATTTAGTTTCAAAATCATCCCAAATCATTCTAGCTTTCTCCTAATACTAGAGAATTTAAAGAGTTTTCTTGAGAGTTGTTTTCTACTTTTTATTAAGAGAAAATTGTTATTGTTTTCTTTTTGTTAGATCGAGAGAAGTTGTATTTCCTATTTTCTTATAGTGAAATTCTTCTACCTTTTCCCGTAGTTTTTACCCTATATTATTTAGGAGTTTTCCATATAAAATTTGTGTCTTCTTTATCTTCATTTTTATTTTTTCAAATTATCAATTACGATTTTACTTTATCCAATAACCGTATTCCGTAACAAATTCTCTAATGTCTTTCCATGAAAAATATATAATCGAAAATGATTACTGAATTATATAGAATGAAAGCCAGTGCAGAGTCCACGCATGGGGAGTGAGGGCTTGGGTTAATTCCTCAAATTATGTCTTTGTCTTCAAACTATTCTTAATTTGAGTATTTTTTTTTTTGTTTTAAGTTAGAGTACTTTAATATTAACTTTAATAGGGGTTAACTACACGTATGATTACTTAAGTTTGTGTTTTGTCTACTTTTGATTATTGATTTCAAAAAACATAATATATAATCACTTTCCTTTTTATTTAATTAAGATATGGTCATCACGAGTTAACTGTTGTTAAAAATTAATAGAATATGTGACGTGATAGTTAGGATAATCACACATTTGGTCCATGTTATTTACATATTCTCTCAATTTGTCATACTTTTAAATAAATTTTAACATAAAATATATATATTTAAATGAAAATAAAAATGAAATATTTTAAATTAAGTTAATAAAAAAATATATTTAATAAGTTAAAATAAAAAATATTTTTAAGTTAACATATATATATATATAATATTATGAATTTAATTATTTATTGTAACACCCCAACCCGTATCCGATTCGAATACGAGTCCGAGATGTCACATTGACATTTCAAAACCTTTATTCTTTCAAAATATCAAAACATTTGAACTCTTTTTAAGAAAATAACACATTATTCTATTAAACATGTTTCAGTATAAAAATTCAAGTCAAAACGTATTTATGAACAGTAAATATGGTATGAATAGTACCATGAACAGTAATGAACAGTACTGTGAACAATACTCAAATGTTAAAATTTTCCAGAATGTCAGAGGGGAACCGATTCCCCTACTACAGGGAACTGATACCCTGCTACAGTACTGCTACAGTCCTTCTATAAAATACGTATAAATTCATAAAAATCCAAGGTTTCATCATTATACATTTACCATTTACATATATATGTTTAAAACATTTCCAAAACTCGATCAGAGCATATCTAATACAAATCATTTTTATTACATGCCAACTAAATTCTTTCTAACAAAATAATTGTAATTTGATCTGATCTTCGGTAAGGAGAACTGACCTGTCTCGTTCCTCTTTACTTCTCTTTTTGCTTTCCAAACCTACGTGTGAAACAATCACAAGCTAAGTCGATGACTTAGTGAGGCATATAAAACATATTATATTACTCTATTCATATCAATGTATAAACCATTAATACTATCATATCATATAAAAGCATATCTTCCATTGTATAACCAATGCACACATATACATTTATCATGAACATATTTATCAGTAATCATATTATTATCACTAATTACTTTTTATCATGTAATCATATAATGTACCTTTTTATACTCACCATCGGGCATCCATGTCATTTCACAATAGAGCACACATAGTCTCATATCAAGTTATTTATTATCTTTAAAGATTATGTATTAGCCCATGTATACTTTTGAGAACTTAAGGTATGTGAGTACATTGAGGTTGTGCACCACTATGCTGTCACCACAGCTCGTATAAATGTCCCGAAGGACCTATCCAGAGGTTATAAAGAACCTCGACAACTGTCCATAGGTCCCGAAGAACCTAGGTAAACTGTCCACATGTTCCTTAAAACATAGATAAACTGTCTATATGTCTCGAAAGACATAGGTAAACTGTCAATATGTCCCGAAGAACATAGGTAACCCTCGACTCTTAGTATGTCAACTATACCCCTAGCTCTCATATCACATAACATGGACATTATCATTTATAATAGTTCACATATTCACATATTCATACCATATCATTCTTTCACATAGCTCTTCATCACATTTCATGTAATCACATATTTCTTCTCTTCTATCACATACCACATGTATGTGTAAACATCTATCTCATATCATATAACATGTATCACATATTGCATATTCATGTAATCATATAGATCATGTCACATAGCTTATATCATTTCTCATATGTCACATAGTTTATATTATTTAACTTGTGTAATCACATACACTATTTATACCAGTTCACATAGCTTATCACACTAACAAGTATTCACACAATTCATGTAACATATGTAATAATATATATCACATACACTCATGCCACATAAGCATCATATCAATCACAAATCGAATAACATTTTAGGAGTCACTTCTTACCGCAGCAACTCCGTCACTGGCTCATCGCAAGCCAAGGTTTATTCAATAACATAAGTACAATTAAATTGCACTCACCTTAGCCTTGCCTTGATTCGATCCTAATCCTTTGATTATTCTGAAAATTGTTTAGGCTCAATATCTACATAAATATAACATTTCAAAAACAATTATCAGAAGTCTAAACCTTAAACTTAATGTTAATAACTTAAGTCGGTTTAATGAACCAAAATTCCATTTTTTTTCTTTAGGGGGAATCGGTACCCCCCCAGAGGGTATCTGTTCCCCCTGTGTAATATGGAATTTTTCGTTCAAGCCCAAAAATCAAATTTTAAGCACGAAAATTCACTCAATTCAACTTGAATACTTCATATTTCATCCCCCTTTATATTCTTACCTTACATATACATGCTTAAACTCATTTATATCCATTTATCTCATCTTAAACCTCAAAATCCTCTCCTCTTTATGAACTTCAAGAATCATACCCAATTTTCAATATGTTCTAATTTTAATTCTATCACTTCATATCTCTTAATTAAACTAATGACAAGTCAAATTTAACTTCAAATCCAACTTATCAACTCTTTTCCGGAAATTCATTTAGAAACTCCTCTTTAATCTTTCATAGCTTCTTCATCTTTTGATTTTAAGATAACTTAAGCTTTCCTTAAGCTTAGTTATCATCTAATGATCTAAACTAACTCATAAAATCAACAAATAATTGATTAACCATAAAACTCACTTTTGCCTTGGAGCCTTCACGGGAGAAGGAATAAGAAGATGAGAGAAATGTCAGGAAACATTTTTTTCCCACCTTTCTCTTCCACGTGGGTTATAAGATAACCCCAAATATTATTTTGTTCTCTTATTTGTTCAATGGCCATTTTTCCCTTTATTTCTTTTGATAATTACTAAAAACTTTCAGGAAATACTTTCCAATAAATCATTGAACCTTTCAACTTTTCCACTTTAATCACCAGATTCTGAAATTTTACAATTTAATCACTAACCCATAGTTTGGGATGTTACATTTATACACTAAGATACAAAATATATACATCATGTTGTCTACTTTAAACCAAACAATGGTCTTGACTTAATGGTTGGATACATGGTTAGTTTCTTAAGTGACCGAGGTTTGAATCTTTTTTGTCTTAATTTGTTTTCCTTTGTTTTCTTTCAATCAGAGGGTAACACATATCACTCTTTGATTGGTGGAAATAAATATATTAAAACAAAATAAAGTTAGTCCTCAAACTAAATGATAACACCTGGCATGACATGTGGCATCATTCAATTGGATGATTAAATTTATTTTAATTTATTAAAAACATGACTAAATTGAGAGAATATGTAAATAACATGGTTTAAATGTGTGCTTATATCAAAATATTTAACTATTGTTAACTGCAGTTAACTCAGGTGACCACATCTTAATTAAATAAAGATAAAAGTGACAATATCTTTTTTTTTAAATCAATGACCAAAAGTAGACAAAACATAAATATAAGTGATCATCCATGTAATTAACCCTTTCAATAATTACTATTATTATTTTTAAGTTTTAATCAAAAAATTGTTGATTTTACTCCTATTTAGGACTATGAAATGAGTAAAAATAGACAATCGAGATTAACAGTAACAAATGAGAAGATATTTTCTAAAATAATAAGTTAATTTTATCCTTCTATTTTTATTCACCCAGTGATATTAAATCTATGTAAAATTTTTAAAAAAAGTTATCGTGTGTAAAATGTAAATATAACTTAACCCTTATATATATATATAATCCAATTATCATGTGTAAAACTATTTTATTTTTATACCTTTTTAGGACCATTAAATGAAAGAGATTAAAGGTTGAGATTAATAGTATAAAATAAGAAGATATTCACTAGGAATAAAATAAATAGTTAATCTTAGCCTTTAATTTTCCACAATCCAACGATCCTAAAAATATGTAAAATTAAAGTAATTTTACGTAGTTTAAATGGATCCTAATCCTATATATGTGTGATCCAGTTACATTGTGTAAAACTCTAGGGTAATTAAAAGTTGTGATTAATAGCAGAAAATGAGAAGATATTCACTAGAAAAAAAACAAGGAGTTAAT